CCCCCCCCTCGATTGTGTTGCTGCATGGGAGTGTGGACGCAACACTGTTCAGAGCGCTGACCCAGTCTGAAGGAGGCCCAGCACACCCCGGGGCGGCGGCGGCGGCGGGGGGGAGGGGGGGGGCGGGGGGGAGGCGGGATGGGGTGCGAGACACGTATGTTTGCGTGGGAAGGCCAACACCGAGGGAAGGAACTGATTCTGGACAAACCACGGCAACGGCCTGGGGTGTTGCCATTCCCGCCGAGCACCAGGTAACCGAAGGGGCGATTGAAGTGCCGGCACCGGACCCCAAGGCGCCTGGGCGATCCCGCAATTTCCCATCGACTCACCCCCTGCATCCTCGCTCCTGGTAAGACCTTCCCCCCGCTTTACTCTCTTTCTCCTCCCTCCCCCCTCCTTTCTCCCATTTTATCCCATATGTCCAACGCAAGCAACCTAATCTCCCTTCTCATGTCCTCCTTCCCCCCCCCCTCCCCCCTTGTCCAACTCCACAAAGCTCCACATCCCCGTGAAAGTGCAGCGATCCCCCCTCTCCTCTCGAAACACCCCCTCTCTGCCTCCTCCCCTGCTCCTCCCTGTTCTCTCTCTCCCTCCCCCTCTCGCGGCCACGCGTGGGCATCCCAAATCCTCCTCCTCCTCCACTCCTCTTTTCGTTGCGACGACAGGGGTATGCGCCTCCCCACCATTCTCCCCCTTCGATACCGCCAATCGACGCCTTACCCCTCCCCCCCCCCCCCCCCCCCCCCCCCCCCCTGCTCCTGACAATGCTGCCAACTGCAACACCCAGATTCCCTGTGACTGCGTCCGAGTCTATGGCCAACAGTGCGCCCACACACGCTCTGGCTCCTCTCTTGCTTGCATTTCGCCGAGCACCGCCTGACTCCTACTGACTCTCCTTCCAATCCAGATCTGCAGGAGCATGCCACATTCATCTCTCTCAGATCCCCCGCTGACATGTCATAATCCCGGCCAAGGGAGGGCCTCGCCCTTGGCGGCTGATGGCAGCGGCTACCTTTCCCACTCCAGTGCCCGGTCGCCAGCCGAGTCATCCTCCGCTGTGCTTGCCCTTTTTGCCGGGGGCCCGGCGGCCCCCGCCGCGGCTCCCAGCCCAAGCATCACTCCGTCTGGTGCAAACCCCAAACGTCCGAAGAATAAGAAGCCGAAAGCCAATCAACGTCCCCCCAAGGGCATGGCTGGACCCGGCTCGGGTGGCAGCCAGTATGCATCGGCTCAGGCCGGGCGCCGAGCAGCCCCATCTAAGTTCCTCTTCGCCGATGAGGCCCATTGCGACCTGGCCGGCGATGACATCCAAGGCTTGGCCACTCTGGCCCTCTCTTCTACCTGGGAGGTCAATCAATTTGATTTCTTCTACAGCCAGGACATGCTGGTCAGCAACATGACGTGCGTATCTACCTGCCTTTGTCTCTTTCTCCCGCGCGCGCGTGCTCTCTCTCTCTCTGCCCCTATCTCCCCGGGCTTCCGGCCGCCCAGTCCATCCCTCTTCACCCATCCCTGACCTGCAAGCCCCCTTGTCAAAATCTCCAGTCGCCACATGTACACACTCCCATCATCGGAATTTGTCGACCTCAATCGCTTGGGCTTCTCCATTGAACAAGCGAGCTGGGACTATTTCGACTTCATGCCGGAGAACTTGCAGATGTTTGATTACCTGGTCTCGCCGAAGCGGAGTATCCTAAAGCCTGCCACGCCGGAGGCCTGGCAAAGCACCAACCACCGCGCTGATGTCCTGTATCACAATCCCGAGAAGCGAGTGGTGGAATTCATGAAAACCAATCGCTCTTTCGAGACAATCCTCGAGCTGAGTATGTCCTTGCCCTTCCGCTCTTGGCCATATTTTGGGCACCCTCTCGGCCTTACTTTTTGCCTGTTGACGGCTCCCGCTGACCCCCATCCCCCCCCCCCCCCCCGCCCCTGCTGGGAAACATCAGTTTCGCACTATGACCCGGTTCTGCTTCAGCTACATCTGGCCACGCAAAATCTCTTCAGTCTCATCTTGAACTTCCATCGAACATACCGGTTCCGCATCTTCTGTGCGGGCCTCTTCGTTTTCGATCACACCCTCAAGTATGTGCTCATGGTCGAGTCGTACAACAGCTCCTGCTGGGCTTTGCCCCGAGGCAAGCTCAATGAGGGCGAGAACATTGTCCATTGCTCAGTGCGTGAGGGTGAGGAAGAACTCGGCATCGACCTCTTTGATATCGCCGTGCATTCCAGCTACCTGGACATTTCCCAGGTCCCAACCATGACGTCGGGCGCCCCGGCGATTGCCTCTGGTCCTGGCAGCCATTCGCCCTCCAGTGGGGGCGGTGCTGGCGGCACCAGCACCGGTGCCAGTGTCGGTGCCCCAGCCGGCAGTGCCGCGAGCAGTGGTGGTGCCGGTGGTGGCAGCAGCAGCAGCAGCAGCAGCAGCGCCCTACACAAGATGAACACACGCTACTACTTTGTGTCCGGCCTGCCCGAGAGTGTTTGCCTGGCCCAAATGACACGGAAGGAGATCCGCGTGCGTTTCACATGTCACTCCCCTTCGCCAGCCATGTCCCCCCCCCCCCTCTTCTATGCTGACACCCCCGGTCCTGCCGGCATTCTCTCCCTCTCCCCTCTTTCCCCTTGGCTCGGGCCTTCTTTTGTGTGCTCAGCGAATCCTTTGGTTCGACTTCGACAACATCGCCAACAGTGATCGCACCAACGAGCGAATTAGCTTCTACACCAACATGCAAGCCATCTTCAAGGCGGCTGTGCCGTATGTGGAGCGCGCACGCATGCGGCTACAGCAGCTTGCCATGCTGGAGCATACGGCTCCCCTGACGGCAGAGGTGGCCTTCGATGCATCGAAGCCCCGGCATGATATTGATTTGTCGGCGCCGGCCGTGGCCCCTATCCATTCTTCCGGTGTCCTCTGGACCGATAGCGCCATGCCGCCCTTCACTTCCGAGGAATTCCGGTCGCTGGTGCTGCATAATGCCGCCAGTCAGCCGGCGCCCCGGCCACCGCTGGGGTCCCCTCTGGACTTGGATGTCGGCGTCGCGTCACCGAGCATGCCTGGTGCCGGCTCGACTGACGCCCTCTCCCCCTTGGGCGCTGGCTCGTCTCTCGGCTCGTCCTCGAGTCTGTCACTATTGGCTGGGACCACGTGTGGCCGAGCGGGAGGAGGTTACTCGCCGCTCCTGGGCTCGACCAGCTCCTTCGATGGGGCCGGGTCTTCCGGGCTGAGTACCTTTAGTTGGAAGTACATCCGGAAGATGAATTCCGAGCAACGCATTTTCATTGACAGCCTACGCGATGAGATGAACCGTCTCCTTCCGCCACCATGAGCTCTTCCAGCTCGGGGAATAGATTCAGGCGCGCGCGCGCACACACACGCATGCATGGCTGTGTGTCTCCATCCTTGTCAAGCCTGTCATGCGTTGGGGTTGCGTTTGTTCATGTTGTCCATCTTGTTGCTCGTGTGTGGCGAGGGGAGGAGGAGGAGCGCAGGGGGGGGGGGGATCGCGCCAAACGCCTTCCTTTCCCCTGGCCTGCTTGCGGCACGCGCTCGGGGGGGGCTGGGAAGTGATGAAGCACGGGGGAAGAGTCGGAAGCAGGGGGAGGGGAGGGGGAAGAGCGCGTAGCATCGAGAATGGGATATGAACCGGCGTTTGGCGCGTGTATTTGATGTGCATGCTGAACAGGAGGGGACCACAGAAGAAGGAAGAACTGGATGACCGAAGACGAGATGGTCCACCTCCGGCCGCCTGAGCACGAATGCCAGGAGAAAGTCGGCGAGATTACTGGACCGCCGGGCTGCCGGGCTCCCGCGGGAAGGCCAGAACATGAATACCGCCGATCGGGCTGAGGGCCAGCCGCGGCTGGCCGACAACATGCTCGCGCCCGGGGGCCATCTTGAAGCGGAATTGATGCAGAAGCCGAGCAACTAGGACGCGCTGCTCAAGCTCGGCAAATTTGCGCCCGACACAGCTCCGAACTCCAGCCGAGAAGGGGATGAAGGCGAAGGGGTCGCGACCGGCGGAATTCTCCGGAGAAAAGCGAGTGGGGTCGAACTTCAGCGGGTTCGGCCAGTAGGTGGGGTTCCGGTGGAGGGCCCAAACCTGGATGTTGCATGAGGTCCCGGCCGGCACATGGTGTCCACGGAGCTCGATATCCCGGGAGATGATGCGGCTAATCTGCGGCGCCGAGGGGTAAAGGCGCATGACCTCCTTGATGAACATGTCCAATTCGCGGAGTTCGTTCAGCTCGGCCATGGTCGGCGAGCGCCCGGTCCCGGTGCCATCGGGGTCCGAGGATCCGAGCTCTTGCCAAAAGGCATCGAGCTCACGCAGCAGCGGCTCCGTGGCCTCGGGGTATTTGGCCGCGCAGTAGAGTGCCCACGCAGCGAAGGTGGCAATGGTATCATGCCCGGCGAAGATGAAGGTGTCCACATGCACACGAAGCTGCTCATCGGTCAGGGGCGTTTCGCCGGGATCCCGAGTGGCGGGATCGGCACAGCGCTTCTGCTCCATGAGCAAACTGTCAAGTAGGGTCATGCGATGGCGGCGCCGAGGCGAGGAGGGGCCGGCAAGGCCGAAGTTGTCAGCCCCATGCCCCGTGGCTCCGGCATCGCTGTCCAGGTCGCTAGGCATGGAGAAGGCCGATCCAAGAACAACCTCAACCTTGCCCTCTTCGAGCAACTTGCGACGCTTCTGAATGAGCTCATTTGAGAAGGCTAGACACAGGATGGCGAGAGGGATATAGGGGATAGAGAGTGAGTGAGTGAGAGATAGGAGGATGGGGGGGGGGGTGGGGGGAGGGATGGAGGGAGACACATGCGGGAGGGAGTGGGGGAAAAGGAGATCCCCCCTTTAAGTCACGACCCTCTCCGCCCCCTCAAAAGGGAGGACGGGGCACTGACAGGGAGGACGTACAGCGAATCGTGGCGAGATGGCCTCGGAACTCCCGGCCAAGCTTGGAATAGTGGAAAATCGTGTCCGAGTGCATGAGCACATTGAAGGCCCGCGCATAGAACATGTTCTTCGTAAACTCCAGTGCCTCCTTGTATTTGGCTTGCGAGGAGATGGTCTCGGCTGGAAGAGACAGCCAGGAGGGGAGGGGGGGGGGGGCGAGGGAGGAGGAGGCAGGAGACTCAGATATTAGTAGCAGACCAGGAAATGTATGACACGGAGAGCTGGGGACGCCGGAGGGGGACGCACTTTGCAGATTCAAACCCATGGACGTTTGGCAAATGATGTTCATGGATGTCTCGGACAGCCACTGGAAGGCATCGAAGGGCTCGCCCGAGTCCTTGATGTGCTTGGTAATGCGCTCGACTAGCAGGTCGGTTTTTTCGAGCATCACCTCCAGGAAGGAGGTTCGCAAGAAGTCCACATGGAAGGAACGTGAGATCCACTGGCGGTGAATTCGATACTCATCGCCGTCCAGCAGCAGGAGGCCTCCGCCAAGCCAGGGCTCCAGCAGTCGGTAGAAGTATCCCTTAGCGTGGTGCTCGCGCGCGGCGCCTTGACAGAAAAAAGGATCAGCAACCGGTGCAGGGAGTAGAATGGGAACGCATGCGGGCAGATGAAGGCAAAGTAGAAGCATGGACAGGGGGGGGCGGGGGGGCGGGCGCACTCAATACTGCACGAATGGTATCCGGCGCGAGGACCTCCACGCCGGGAATGGGGCCGTTCCAGAACTGCAAGACTCCATGATGGCCATACTCGCGAGCCAGCTTGTTGAAGGACTCCTCACGCTTGAGAGGGTCCAGCGGGATGTTGATGATCGATCCGATGATTGGCCACTGGGGCCGGCCGGGCATGTCCTGCAGGCAGGCATATTTCTGTGGGCGATAAACAGAGAGAGAAAGTGTCAGCAGGCAAGCGAGACAGGGGGGGGGGAGGAGGAGAGGGGATACAGACGGAGACAGAAACCAGGCGGAGAAAGCCAAAAGGATGGGTCGGGGACGGACATGATAAGCGCGGCGGTAGACATTCACGATGGACAGGATCAGGTAGGCCCCCAGCAGGGCCACCACGGTGAAGGCCGTCTTGATGGGTGAGGCAAATGCCGAGGCCAGGGCCTCTTGCAAGATCTGCAGGGCCGACATCTATGTGGAGATGGGAGTGAGGGGAGGTGGAAATCGGGACACCGGGAAGGAGGGGGAGAGAGAGAGAGAGGGGAAGAAGGGAAAGAGGGTGGTGCCAGGTGCTGTGATCGGCCACGAGATGCGCAGGTGTCCCTTGAGCACACCTCCCCTGAGCTCTCGGGAGTTTGGCAGCTGGAGGGGGGCAGATCCTCCGTTCTCGGCGACCCTCCGCCGGGTCGGACGCAAATGCCAGGGTGGTGGGGATCCCCTGCCACGCGCCCGACAGCCGGGGGCCGAGGAGAAACGCAAATGGGAGCCGCGATCATGCCCAGGTGCCTCCACGCCCGGACTCTGGGGCAGGTGGCCAGGCCGGAGCAACCATGTGCTTTTGAAGAGGGACCAGGCCAAGGGACCTCCTCCTGGGAGCGCAATCGAAAGGCGGGCGAACTGTTTAGGCCAGCTGCGCGCGTGAAAGCCCTGATGCCTGGCTGCGGGGCACAGATTGCCGGTCCCTAAGATGGTGGGAGTGGGGGGGGGGGGGGGCTAAGCCAGCACGTTGGGCGGGGACCAGCCGCCGCCAGGGGCCAAGGGCATTCCAGCACGAGGAGATCGCCCCTCGGGCCAGGGACGTGGCTGGAGGCGTTGGGGGGTGCGAATGGTTGTTTGTTTTTTTGATTCCGGGCCGGACGGGCGTGTTGTCCTTGCCGGGCAGGGGTGCCTCGGAAAGGGCTACCACCTCCGTGGACTGGGAGGGAACAAAGCCTCAGGGGGCGGGCGCCCATGCTGGGAGAGGGGGGGGGGGAGGACGCACCCGCAGGACACCCCGGGGGGTGGGAGGGCCTAGGAAATAAAGGTCCCCCTCACGCGGCAGCCCAGATCGGGGCCAGCAATAGAATGGCCGGCGAGTGCCAGCGGACTGCAGTCGGCGCGCAGGTGGCTGGAGGCCCCACCCCTGGGCGGGAGCCCGAGGGGGCGAACCTCCGGGCACGCTGGCCAGCAACGGGGGGCGAGCTGGCCCTGCTAAAGTGGGTCTGCCCGCGAGCGCGTGGTGCTCCGGGACTGCGAGTCCTTTCTTTTCACAGGGACCTGCGGAAGGCCCCCGTCACTTCCAGAGCCCTGCCACGACCTGCAGGCGGCCATAAAGGCGAGAGAGAGAGAGAGAGAGAGAGAGAGAGAGAGAAAAGAGCAGGCCCATGACGAATACCCCAGGAAGGTAAATCCGCGACGAAGTGCTTCCGCCGAGGGAGGCGGCCTGGCTTGGCACACACTGGCGCCCTGACCGCCCGGTTGGGGACGAAATAGTATCCCCGTCCTGGCCCTCGGCCCGGGGGGGGGGGGGCCGAAGCCCCCGCAAGTTAAACGCCCGCCCCCCCCCCCGGAAAGGGATGGTTGAAGGTAACTGTCCTCTGCCTCTCTCTCTTACGGCCCTCCTCGCTCCCTCGCAGGCTCCTCGCCCCTTGCATCTGCCTTGGATTTTGGCCACCACCGGGCAGGCTCCCCGGGTGATGCACAGACCCGGTGAAGTCTCGTTCGCTCCTCTCCGCTACCAAGGTATTTTCCCAGCCCCGCGGCTCGGTCTTTGTCCGGGGCGCAACTATCCGCGAGTTCGTGAAAAGCAAGTTACGAATCTCGATGCCCTGGATGAAGGGCCGGCGTGGATTAACTTGAACTGATCCGGGGAGACACTTCCCATTGCCCAAGGCGTCCCACGGTCCCCTGTCAAGGAGCTATGGTGCCTGCCTCACTCAGGCTGCCAGAGACCCCTGTTCTCCGCTCTGCCATGGTGCTTTAGTCGACACCAGACATGCCCATCCGGGGACTATCCACCTCACCCTTTATGTCAGTTAATCCCACAGCTGAGCGGAACCATTTCCACCTCACAAGGCAGAGGATCGAACACGGCCGGGAGGCGGCCAACCACGAGCGAGGCACTCTTTCTGCCCAATCAACATGGGGCGCCTCGTCGTTTGGATGGCATCCCCCCCCCCCCCCCCCCCACCCCCCCCCGGCGGCCTTGACGACCAAGCCGTCTCCGAGGATACCCGCATCAATGAGAAATGCAGTGCCAGGGGGAGAGGGACAATTGACACAGGCAAACCTGTTGGCCATGGGGCGGGCGTTAGTCCGGACGCCGGTTGGAGGATGCGTGCGCGTTACCCGCGACTCTTCCAGTCAGAGGCGCCGGCTAACACGCCGCCCGAAATGGCCTCTACCCACTCTTGGTTGTACCAACAAGAGCACACCCGTTAGCTCGGGCAAGAATGGGATCGTGGGGTAAGAGAGAGACATTTTTGTCCTGGTGCTGATCACATGCATGTCACTCGCTAGCTCGTTACACTTTTGAATTCCCACTCGATCCCGGGCAAGTGTCCATTTGCCGGCCACATCTCCCGGCTCCGCCCGTGGAGGATGCCACCGCCCCCGGGCTCCTCCCCTCCGGATGACAAGGCACAGATCTGGCGATCTCCTTTCCCGACAACGGTGCCTCTTCAGAGGGTGTGCTTGATGTGAGTGGGCGGCCAACAGGACAGTCATTCTCCTCCTCCCTCTGTCCCCCCCCCCCATCTACCCCCTGCACCCTCCTGCCCTCCCACCCATTTCACCCCACACGCATCCGCCCCGAGCCATGCACCCCGCTCGGACACCAGGGCTCTGTTGATTCCGGTGTTCGCCGCCCCCTGACCAGCCTCCCCCTGCGGGCATTTGCCTTTGCCCCCTCCTCCCCCCCTATTTTTCCCCGCCGCTGGCCATGGATTCATCCTTCCATGCTCGCTCCTTTTCCTCCCTCTCCCAGGGGCGAACCTATGCCGGGGGCACCGTCGCCCCTTCGACCCCGGCCCCAAGTCGAGGTGCGACTGCCCCCCTGCAGGCCGCCAATAGCCGATCGGCTGTGCGGCCGACCCGGGGCCAGTCCGCTCCTCTGATGGATGCCTCTACCCCTGCGCCTGTCGGTGCTGCTCGTTCGGGGCAAGCAGCAACAAGCTTTGCAAGCACATTTTCGGTGGGGGCGTTTACACCGCCGGAGTCCCGACCACCCGGCTCGCGGCGCTCCTCGCCCCCAGCTACCCCAGCACCGGAACTCCCAAACACACTTCCCCTGCGATCGTTGGCCGCGGCGGCCGCGGCGGCCACCACAAGCGGGGTGCTTTCTTCGCCAGGATCACCGATAAGTCGGCCGCGGGCCGGGAAGCCGTCGGCTGCCGCCGGGTCGCTACTCTCGCCCTCGAATGAGCGAGGTCTCCTCCGTCGTCCGGCATCAAATGGCGGGCATACTGGCCTGACGCCGGCACTGAAGATGCTCCAGACATCCAGCCGACCGAGTCGGCCCAGCACCAGAATCCCCATGACCGGGCCCCAAACGCCGGCCCCCTGCCAGCGGGCCCGGCCGGCCACCGGCCGCGTCTCCGCATGTGAGGAGACTCCCACGGGCGGGGCCAGTGGCCCTGGCATGGGTCCTGCCATTGGTCAGCCGACTCCCCGCCGGCTGCCGACCGTTGTGACACCCTTCAACTTTAGCTCGGATGAGCTGCGCCAACGACGCACGCGGACCATGCAAGCAGCCGAGCCGGCCCCTGCTGTCAGCGGCACCCGGCGTGGGCCACAACCAACACCCCGCGGATCGATCTCCGGGCGAGTTTCCACCGCCACGCCCAGTGGCAATGCCGTGGAGGCGACTCCCTCCCGGGCACCGGCCCGCCCCAGGGCCCCGCAGGCCATGCCTCCTTCCTCCGCGGCATCGGGTGCTCTGTCCTCCTTGGCACCACTGCCGGCCCCGGCTCGGGCGCCTGGCGGCCGGCCCGAAACGACACCCCACAGCGGTGGCTCTACCTTCACAATTCCGATTACTCCACCACGGCCCCGAGGCCGGGGAGCACCGCTTGCCGTCACGGCAGCTGCCCGGCCGCGCCCTGGCGAACGCCCGGCCACGGCTCGACCGCTCGGGGTACGCCCCCCTGTGGCGTCCCGGGGGGGTGCCCCGTCGGCTGTGGTGGACCAGGCTCTTGAGTGGCTGAATTCCGACCCTGCCTTTATGCACACCTCCGCGGGCGATATTCAGGTGCGTGTGTGTGTGTGTGTGTGTGTGTGTGTGTTTTGAGCCTGCCGGCTCACCTCTCGACTGATCAGCCCACTAAGATCACCCTCCTCCCATCATCCTGGCCCACGGCATCCCCCCTCCCCCTTTCCTTTGCGCCTACACAGCACGAAGAGGCTGCTTCAGCCTCGCCAGCCCATCGGTTTTGGGTATCGGCACTGGCCCCGGTGGCCGCAGTCCAGAATACCCGATTCACTGGACGTGCTGTGCCCCCTTCTCCCCGGGGCTCTGGAGCACCATTGCCCATGGCTGTACGTATCGAATCTCCGCTCGGTGTGGCGACCTGTATTGTTGGGGCTGTTGTCGTTTTTTTTTCTGACCCCTAAATGCTGCCGTCGCTCGCGGCTGGACATAGCGTGCTCGCCGGTTGGATGGCCCGCGGCCTGTATCTTCGAACTCCTCCGGCCAGTACCGAGCGCCCTTCTCGCCGGCGCGCAAGGCCACAGCAGGGCGCGTGTCGCTCACCCCCAGACGGCCACCCGGGACCACCAGCCTGCGCGAGGAGTCCCGGTGCCCCGGATCACCTCCCTCCCCACCCGATCGGGACGGGACTGCATCTGCCTCCAGCCTGGCCACCATTACCACGCCCCCGCGGTTACTGGGCACCGGTCAGACGAATGGGTCTTCTTTCAGCTCGCCCTCCTCGGCCGGGTCGCTGAATATCCTTTCGTCGATCAGCCTGTCGCGCGCCGGAACACCCACCGGCCCCCGGGGCCTGGTGTCCACCTCGGCAAGTATCCCGGCACCGGGGCCGGCAGCAGCCCCCCAGCAGCAATCCGACCAAATGATGCTCTTCTCGGCGCCGCTGGTTGACGAGCAGGCATTGCTGGCCTCGCTGGGGGGGACGCCTGAGCGGACAATCCTCTGGACGTCCGGGAGTGAGGACATGACCGAAGCGCCAACCCCCCAGCAGGCCGAGGCGGCCCTCCTCCGGGAGTATGAGCTTCTTCGCGCCGAGGAGCAGCGTCTGGCCGAGCTGGAGGCTGCGCTCCTTCAACGGCTGCCCCCTGGGCCGTGAAACGTGCTGGGGGGGGGAGGGTTCTTCTGAGTGAGGAATATAACTGTCCTTGTTTGTCGGCCAGCATCCGCTGCTGTTTGTGTCACCATGGCGGGGCTCAGGAGTAGTAGAGAGGGCAATGGCCGCAATGTATTTGCGCGCTGGGTGATGAAAGGAAGGAAAGGACGGGGAGATAACTGAGGAGAGTGTGTTGGCGCGCGGCTGGGGGGCTTCCCCCAGGCGCGGTCGAGGAGTAGAAGGGAGAAGGGCAAGGGGGGGGGAGGGGGAGAGGAGGATAAGTGTACAAAAGAAAAGGGGAGGGGATCAGTTCCGCCGGCGCCGGGGGCCGGGGGAGGGCTCAGCCACCGGAGTGGCAGCAGGGGTCGCGTTCGAGGTGGTGGTGGTAGCGGCGGTGGTGCCGGAGGCGATGGCCGCAGCCGAGGCCGGACCACTGCCCGAGGCGGCGTTGCCGGCGGGGGTGGCGGCCCGCTTGGCACCCGAGAGAGGGACGTAGCGGAAAACCGGATGCGAATCGATCTTGCCTCGGTCGCAAGATCCGGCCTCGTCGGCGCCGGAATTGACCGACAGGAAGGTATACACCAGGCAGAGCACCAACACCAGGACTGAGGCCCAGTTCGAGAAGTGCATGAGCATATGCTCATCAATCACCAGGGCCATGATTGCGAGTACTTGGGCCGGCGGGGGAGGGGGGAGGGGGGCGATGCTCCAAGGCGGTGTAGGCAAGAGGCTGAGGAGGTGAGTGGGTGGGGCTGGAGGCAGGGGGAAGGGAGGGGCTGGAAAATCGGCCCCAGGCCGGGGGAGTTGGGGGAAACGCGCCGAAAAGACCGGCGCCCTGAACCGCAGGCAGAGGGCGGGGACCGGTCCGAAGGGGACATCGGGGAAAATACAGGCCGGGGCACAACGGGCAATCGTTGAGATGGCATCCAGGAGCAAGTGACGCGGCGTGCTCGATCACGCGCCGCAGGCACAAATCGGCATGTGCAAAGCATCAGCTAATGAAGAGTAAAATAATCCCCGAGGATATATCCACTGCCAGCGACAGTAAGCAGAATGCCCGACAGTGGTCAGCTTTTCCGGAGGGGGGGTCATGTGCCAACGGATCTTTGTCTCCTGGTTGCCACGCACCCGCCTGGGCCCAGGTTCCGCCCCCCCCCCCCCCCCCTGTCAAGTCCGTGCATGCGCGCGCGGGGGGGACCAAGCTCGAGGAGCCCGGGACTGGGCCGAGCCAACCTGGTTCTCGCGTGGGCGAAGCCGAGGGGCTGGGGGGCGTGTTGGGTGCAGGCGAGCCTTCGGGATGGAGGAGGGTCCTCACCCGGGGGGGGGGGGCGGTGAGACTGTGCCCACGATGGGCGGGGAGGGGGGAAGGGGCATGCGGAGGGAGGAGGGCCCACACATGGTGCGGCCCCCGCGCGCCTCGCGCGGTCGGTCGTCACCTCGTTCGGGGGGGGGGGGGGGCGGCCCTGGAGGCCGCGGGCAGGGACCATATGGGGGGAGCTGGGGCCGGGGGAAGGAGGGATGTACGTGTGTAGTGGGGTGGGCCTGCCCGCCAGGCAGTGGCGGCGTGTGGGCGTCCCCAAGAGGGACCGCTGTTGTTGCCCCCCCCTCCCAGGGATCGGCCTATTCCTTTCGTTTTGTTTTCCCCGTCAATCCGAAAGTAGTGCCACCATGAGGTTAGTCCTTCCTTTGTCTTCTCCCCCCTCGCCTCTCCTCCCGCGCCGCATGTCCTCTCCCCCTCGGTCTGTCGGATGCAGACCGCATCCGACGCGCGGTCCTCTCTGACCTCTTCCGAATGCGCGCCACGGGGCGCGCGCTGGACTGGGCACCTCGCTCTCTCGGCTCCCCGCGTGTGCGCGCCTCCCCCTGTTACTGACTCTCCTCGCTCGCCTCTCCCTCCCTTCCCCCCTCCTCTCTCTCTCTCTCTCTCGCTGTCCCCCTCCCCTCCCCTGCCCGATGTGACTGGCTTCGTGTGCGCGCACGCCTTCCACAGCAAGATCTCGCGTGAGAACCTCCTCAAGAACGTCAACGAGGTCCTTGAGGGCTCCAAGACCAAGCAGCGCAAGTTCACTGAGACCATCGAGCTCCAGATCGGTCTCAAGAACTACGACCCCCAGAAGGACAAGCGCTTCTCCGGCACCATCCGCCTGCCGTTCGCCCCCCGCCCCCAGATGACCGTCTGCATTCTGGCTGATGCTGCCCACCAGGACCAGGCCAACGAGGCCGGCCTCCCCAGCATGAACATCGAGGACCTGCGCAAGCTCAACCGCAACAAGAAGCAGATCAAGATCCTGGCCAAGAGCTACGATGCTTTCCTGTCTTCCGAGTCTCTGATCAAGCAGCTCCCTCGTATCCTCGGCCCTGGTCTCTCCAAGGCTGGTAAGTTCCCTGCCCCGGTCACCAACACCGACTCTCTGCTCGCCAAGGTCGAGGAGACCAAGTGCACCATCAAGTTCCAGCTCAAGAAGGTTCTGTGCCTGGGTGTCCCCATTGCCAACATCACCATGGAGGCTGAGGACATCGTCCAGAACATTGCCCTGGCCGTCAACTTCCTCGTCTCCCTGCTGAAGAAGAACTGGCAGAACGTCAAGTCCCTGTACATCAAGTCCACCATGGGCAAGCCCGTCCGTGTCTACTAAGTGTGCTCGCATTGTCGGTGCGCGCTTGTCGCCATTGTCCTGGGGAGGGCCCTTTTCTCCGGTGACAGGGGGGGAGTTCTGATGCGTGTGCGACGCCCCCGGGGAGGGCTCTTCCTCTCTCTCTCTCTCGCGCTCTTGCGGGTAGGAGAAGGGGGCAGCCCCTTCGGAGCCCGTTTTCTTTTCTCCCCCCCCTGCCACCTTCTCCCCTCTCCATGTCGTCCTTGGCGACGATGTGCTGTGCCCTCTGCGCGCGCGCGTGGGTCTGAGTGATGCAGAAGATATGATCACCGAGATGGCCGCACGTGCGTGTGTAGGTGTGTGCGCGCACGCGCTTGGATGCAATATCACTCCGTGAATCTGTCCTTCTTTGGCCGGGGAGGGCGTGTGTCCATGCCATTCGTGGCTGTGCCGCTCTTTCTGTGTTGTGTTTGTGTGTGCGCGTGTGCATCAACGCGTGTGTTTCCTTCTCTTCCTCTGTGTCCTTCTTGCTGTGTCTCTCTCTTGCCCACCAAACATCCATACTCTGCGTACTTCACCGCATCACCAACAGGAGGGCGCGTCGAGAGTGGAGCGTGTGTGTGTGTGCCACACACACTTGCCTTTCTCTGGCAAGGTGTGCGTGTCTTTCACCGCCTTCCCTCCCCCCTCCTGCTTGGGAGCTGAGATTTTGCTTTGGCTTTAGTAGTAATACATCTCGGGGATAAAATCGCGAGTTGTCATTGGTGAGAGGAGGGGGCGGGGGGCCAGGGGAGCGGGCGGTTGCCCTTCCTTCGTCTTTCCTCCCTTGGCCCCGCGCATACTTGGGTGTGGTGGGCGGGGAGGGGGGGGGGGCGCTGCAGGGGACCGGGGGCGGCCTGCTCGCCGGCATGTGGTGTTCTTGGGCTCCTCGGGAGGGGTGGGGCGTAGTGTCATGGGCGTCGTTCTTGTGCATGGTGCTTCCCTTCTGGAAACCCACCATCAGTCAAGAGGTGTCTCACGATCTCAGAACTCGGAAATGCTATTCCGAAAAAACAGCCCACAATTCCTCCTGGCCCCTCCCTGGGTGTGTTCCTCTCAACGCCACCATGTTGGTGTGTCTCCGAGGGAGTAACATCTCTCTCCCTCCCTCCCCCCCTCCCTCTCTCCCTCCCTCCCTCCTCTCTCTTTCTCTCTCTCTCTCTCTCCCTCCCTCCTTCCCTCCCTCTCTCCCTCCCTCCTTCCCTCCCTCTCTCTCTCCCTCCCTCCTTCCCTCCCTCTCTCCCTCCCCCTCTGTATGTATGCACCTGCGAGTGAGAACAGACTACCAGTCGGAGGTGTTCCTTAAGGCCCACGACGATCCCTCCACTACGGCATGAGTTCCTTACCCTGCTATCTCAGCTACTGGGATTTGTCTGGATCAGCACCAATTCACCCAGTCTCCTGAGATCGCTCTCCCTCCCTTGGCCCCGCCCTCGCATTCCAGCGGGGGGTGTCGGAAGTGTGCACGAGGACAAGCCAGCAGGCCAATGCTATTATTGGGCATCCGGCGAGGCAACAGGGAGGAAATAGCGTAGCCGCTCGAGTTGAGAGCTTCGCGTGAGAAACTCGTCTTCCACCACCGCCGTAATGACAGCCATGTCTCCCTGGAGTTCTGCGATTGCGAAATTGTCAGTCAAAGGTGCGAAGGAGGATAGGGAGGAGGCTGTAGGGAGGGAGATGTCGGCAGCAGGGCCACGAACCGAAGACCAGCTTATGCGGATTAACGTATGTTGAGCTGAAAACCCGCTGCAAATCCCGAGCATCCAGCGTCAGGGAGTACTCCTGATGCTGTGGGATGTCTTCGGCTGGAAGGGCGGGCAAGGGGGGGGGGGGGGAATTCACGGTAAGTGACCGCGATCATGGTCAGGCGACAGGGGGAGAGCCTGTGCCTCCCTTTCTCCCGTTCGCGCACCATAGGCCTGATTTTTGATGTTGAAAATGACCTGCACCATGACGTGGTGATTGCGCGAGGCCAGGTACAGACACCCGCTCTCCCGGAGCGAGAGCTCGACATATCGGTCCAGCCGAGCAAGCTTGTCGATTGTCTGCTTCATGACGGCCAGATCCTCCCTTTCGAACGAGATCTCGGGGTATGGTTCCGGGAGGGACGACGCGAAGGCAAGGCACCGTTCGGCGTCCCAGAAATACACTGGCACACTGTGGGTCACGGTGCGCAGGCGCTCTGCCCCATTGGCCGACACCAGGCTGTCCTTTTGGATGGTGAAGTGCATGAGCAGCTGATGTCCTTGCCATTGGAGTTGTATGGTGCAAGAACGCCGACTGTGAAGTGATGATTGGAGAACCACCAGAAGATCCTGACAGGATGCCTCGACGGCCAGCACGCCTCCAGGACAGTCAATCAGCTGGAAAGAGCTGAAGAGCTCTTGCTGGGGAGGGAGGAGTGGTTAGGAAGCACCGGCGCATGCGAAGGAGGTCGCGATATCCCGGAGAGGTGACAGTGGAGCAGGGCAGGGGCATGGCCATTTGCGTACAGGATGAAACTTGGCAACCGCACGAACACCAGCTTTCTCCAGCGAGTAGATGGTTGTCTCGTGCGACGAGAAAAAGATGGACACAGTTCGACCGATGTCCCGTAGGGCGAAGAGAACCTCTGGCGAGGCCCGATGTGAGGAAGTGCGTGAGTGATCGGCATCGCGCGACAGCACAAACAGGCATGGTTCAGGGGACGAAACTGTTCAATGGATCGGGGTTGTTGAGCACGCCACGGAAATTGGTCATGGTCGCCGGGCGGGATGCCGTGTGGGATTGCACACGAAGGGGCGAGCGTATGTAGGTCACTGAGGGGGGGGGAGGGAGGGAGGGAGGGCGGGCGGAGAGGGGGAACACATCAGAGAGGAGTGAGCTGGCCAATCAATCGCCTCAATGGGGGCACCACGAGGGGCGGCTTTGTTTCCTTCCCCAAGTGAGAAAGATCACACGCTGGAGGGGGGGGGGGGGGTAAAAGGGCACGGTGCAAGATCGAGGGGGAGAGTGCCCAAGTGCCAATGGTAGGGTGGCGCCACCATAACCGTTCCCCAGCTTGAACTCTCAGAGGCGCATCTTGGGGCCATTTTCCGTGCCCTCTGCCTCCGCCCGGGCTCCCAAGCAGTGTCAGCCTGGGCGGCATGGGCAAGCGTGTCAGGCGGCCCCGGAGGGCCGGGGCCGAGTGTTAGTCGACCAAGGGAGGTACTTAAGGGAAAGGTCCGGATTTGATCCCCTGTCGAAATGGGATCCGACATCGTTCCACCCTCCCCTCCCTCTCCCACCGGCCTCCCCCTTCTCAGGCGCACCTGTCCTCCCCCCCTTTTTTTTTTACTCTCCCACCCTCTGTCATGTCCGATTCCGATAGCTTCGTGATTGCCCGCGTTGGCCGCAGCCAGTTGTCCAAGTACGTTGATCGCAATGTCCGCTTTGTGGGACAGGTGATCCGTACCAACCCCGGTCACACGGCAGTTCTCGCCGCTCCCGACGGCGGTGAGGTCATCATCATCCTGCAGTCTGTGCGTATCCCCCCCTCCCCTGTTCCTTTGTCTTTGGGTCTCCTGGATTGGTGGTTCTTTTTTCATTGACCAGTGCACTCTCCTTTGGCTCGGCGTTCTCCTCCTACGAAGGGTACCCCGGTGGACTCGAAGTTCATCGAGGTTATCGGCACTGTGCAGCCGGATCAGTCTATCCGCGAGTTGTCGATCACCTCCTTCGGGGACGACTTCGGTACGCGCTTGAATCAAGGTCGATTCTCCCTTTTCACTCACAGGGCCTTTGCTGACCGAATCCATGCCCTCTCCTCCGTCTCCCTCGTCTCCTCAGACATGGACAACTTCAACAGTCTGCTGCAAATTATCCCCAAGTTCCCCAACCTCTTCCATGTCTAAATGCCCCACGCCTTGTACACCTGTTACCTGTCTACTCACACATGTATGTATGTCTGAGCGTATATACATATATGTGTGTGTATGTGTACGAAAAGGTATATAGGCGCGTCCGATCCAAGAAAACCCCTCCAAGAAAAATCCGTTAAAAAAGCTCCCAGAATAAAGACCCCCTCGCAAAGTTTCTCTCTCCTTTTTCATCATGGCTTGAAAAAGTTCCCCAGGGCTTTCAGTTTTCCACAGAAAAGGTCATATGTATTGTCAGGAGACGACAGGAGAGGATCGACCACAAGAGGCGTTTTCCGAGAGACACACACGCGCGCGCGCGCGTATATATATATATATATCCTGCTGATCTGGCCACTGGCACCCAGTGTCCCGGTGGGCTGGTACATTCTCATATCCACACATGCACATGCTAAAGCGTGGTTCCACACCGAGGGCAAGTCCTCTGCCCGTCTCCGCCATTTTTTCATGGCATTTTCACCGACGACGACGGCTAGTGACCAGCTCAAAGCCATCCTCATCGACATCGGGAGCCGGGCGCTGAGGCGGCTTGGCATCCTCCACCGGGATGTCATCACCCTCGGTCTCCTCATCATCACCATCAGATTCCGAGTCTGAGTCCTGGATCTCGGTGGTTTGGATGGCCTGGGCGACGACGCGCGCAGCGGCCGGCGCCCGAGCGCGCAGGCCCTCCAGTCCGGTAAGAGTGTCCTCCTTGAGCTCGTCCCAGATCTTGCAAACCGTCTTGGAGACGGCCTCCACCGAGCCGTCCTCCGCCACACAGGAGAACTCCTCGCCGAGAATGTCAAACAGGAAGTCCTCGACGTCAAACTGCTCGATCTGCTTGTCTGTTGAAAAATGCAACATGCACATGCGTGTGTGTGTGTGTGTGTGAGAGAGAGAGTCAGGCGACTGGGTGTGTTTTCGGTGTTTTTTCCCCCCTGGCGGGCACATAGAGGGCATCGGCCTGCTGCTACGACGTACTGGTGGTCACAAACTCAACGAGGACCTCCTCCAGCCACTCGGCCTTCTCGCGCGATTCGTGGCCGCCCCACTCATTGGCGACAGCCACCTGCAGGAGAGACCAAGAGCTGAAGACCAGGCCAACAGCCTCGGCCAGCAAGTTCTCGCGCTGCTCCGCGGTGAAGGGCGGAATGATGGACGACATGGCAAGGGGTACGTCTGGAGTGTGTGTGTGTGTGTGTGTGTGTGTGTGTGTGTGTGTTTGGGGACAGTGCACGCAGGAGCAGCACAGGGCAGGGGTATGGCGTGTGTATGTGCGTGTGTGGGAGAGAGGAAGGGGAAGGATGCCGAATACTGGCCCGAAAAAAAAATGCCGGCTAGCGGTGCGTCAAATACCCCTCGCAGATTCTCGAGCCCATTTGCCCGTCCTGCACTGGGAGCGGGCGGGGAGGGGCGAAATGGAGGGGCTCGATCCGCTCGAAGAGGACCCCATGTGCCGGGGGCGGGACCGCGAGAATGGCGGAGGCCCGCGCGGGACAGAAATGACGAGAGTTGGCACTTGACCGTTGGCCTGGGCGACTTTTTGAAATCCGCTCGATCGGCGTCGCGGCTCTTGAAGGGGACTCGCTTCGGGCGCCGGAGTTCCTTGCCTCCTGGGCATCTCACCTCCGGATCTGACACGATCTCCCTCCCCCCTCCCTCTCTCCCCCTCTCTCCCTCTCTCCCTCTCTCTCTCTCTCTCTCTCCCCCTTCCTCCACCTCCCCCCTCTTCTACATCTATCCGTCGCCTTATCAACTGTCCATTTCTGCTTCACTGTTTCTTCGAGGCCATCCCTCCTCGCATCGCCTCAGGCTAGACATCGTCGCCACCAGCAGGCACCCCTCGCCCCCCTTTCGCCACTCTTCGCCATGCTGCGCCCAGACGGCCGGCAGCCACCCGGAAACCGCCGGTTGCAAATCGACTACATTATCAACTTCCTGGGGACACACTTCCCAGATCTCCAAGTTACAGTGGATCTCATTCGCAAGGTATGGGCTTCTCCCTGTCCCTCTCTGCCCCGTCCCCGATCATGGGGCTCCTGTCTCACGAACATCGCTCTCAATTTGTCCCCTCCCCCCCCCCTACTGGGTCCTCTGCTCCTCCTCTCCAGCCAACAACTCACCAAGTTCGGCGAGTGTATGAAGAGTTCACCACCGCTCTTCGCTATGTTGATCGGTCAAAAATCGGCACACAGGCCAGCGAGTCTGCCCGCGAGCTGGCTTTCAATCGCATGGTGTACGGCCTCCAAAATGCCCACCATTCCTTCCCCTGCCCCGGTCTCTTTCATTTGGCTCTCTCGCTTGATGTTGACCCTCATCATGTCGATGTGACTCCTCTTGCGGGGCAATAGCATCGAGGTCATGGTTATCTCCGGCGTAGATGACTTCTCCATGCGGGACCTATTCGGGCCCGCCCCCAAGCCCGAGCGCGTCCATTCCAACCTTTCTCGTCTGGTGACATTCTACTCGTATCATCTTCTGTGCGAGGAGCGACTCAGCCCCGTTGCCAGCACCATTTCCCAGAGGCGTGCGGAGAAGGAGGCAGCCGAAGAGCAGCTCCGACTGAAGAAGGAGGAGCTGCTCTCAACCGAGTGCGTCCTCCCATGCCCCACATGCGAATCTTCCCATCACTCTCCCTCCCTCCCTCCCTCCCTCTCTCTCTCTCGGTCTGTCTTTCCTCCGATCTCTTCCCTTTCACCTTTTTAACACAGGCTCGCCTTCACTCATTCCTCGTGGTTGTTGGCTATTTGCGGCCCGACAGAGCGGCCATCGAGCGCGAAAGGGCCGAGGCTGATGCTCTGCGTCGGGAAATCGACCGCGAGAACGCCGACATGCCCCAGGCTGTCGAGCGGTTGAATGCTCGGTCGGCTGAGGTGGCCAAGCTGCGTGCCGAGCGGGACCAACGGGTGGCCGAGTTGGATCGCGCCCAAGCCCTTGTTGAGTGCATCCGCTTGCGGGGAGAGCTTGCTCAAGAGCAGCGACTTCTGGCAGTGGCTACTCGGCGAAATGGCCAGCTGCGTGAGGACCTCGATGCTCTTGCTCAGCGCGAGGCTGTCGCCGCACGTGCAGTGGCCGCACATGAGCGCCTCATCGCCGCCAAAGGCCGAACCGCCCAGCTCGAGGGGCAGATCCAGGAGCTGGATATGGATCTCCGCCAGCTTGGTGATGATCGTGCGGCACTCAATGAGGCCATCAGTCAACTTGAGGCGCGCCAGGAAACTCTCGAGGCAGATCTCCAGCAGGAAACCGAGCGCCGGACGCGCGAGCGTGCCAGCCTTACCGCTCTGGAGGAGGACCTGGAGGTCAAGCGCCGGCGTGTTGTGTCGTGCGTGTGCTCATCCCGGCCCTTTCGCACCTTTTGTTTCACTCGCCCACTTACTCGGTTGCTCATCCATCCCCACCCCGCATCCCTCTCTCTCTCTCTCTCTCTCTCTCTCTCTCTGTGCATCTTTTCCCCTCCCTAGTGATAACGCAAGGCGTCAGAGCATCATGGAGCAACTCCGCCGTGAGATGAATTCAGTCAACTGGAGCGTGCGTTCAGCCATGTGATTCCGCGCTTGTATTCCTCTTTTCATTCACTGACGCATGCGTCTCATGCCCCCCCTCCATTGCTCTCTCCCTCCCTCTCCCTCTCTCTCTCTCTC